AGTATTATACTCACCACTACTATAGTTTTTTGAATGAGTACGTGAAGTCAGCAGCAAAATGGTAACCGGCAGAAATTTTATCATAGTCTAAACCTCCTTACAAGGTTTATATTTCACACAGAACGGGAAAGAGAATGTCTGAACACGTACGGCTTCTAATAACCCAAACTATTGAGAAATGTATAACGCTCTTTTCAAAAACTCTTAATTTAAAGGCAATTTGCCTGCACTTAGCTTTGTCACCCTTGTTTGAAATAACCTTAGTATTTCGAAAAAAATTCGTGTAGTTTTTACGAAAAATTGTGGTGTGACTTGCGGAACGGTTCACAATAGGCTTATTCGTAATAGTCGGAAATTTGTGGGGAGCACTAGCCCCCATAAGACTGGGTGTTTTGAAATTTCCCATGTTGGGCCAGGAAAATAGCATTTTTGTTGTGTGAAAGCTACTTTTTGAGATTGTGCAGCTTAAAAAACAATGTATTTTAGAATCCCTTATAGGTAATTCCGACTACCAATTAGACATATTCCAGGATATTTTACTAGAGTTTTTAATAGAGTTGCAAAGTGTCTATACACCGGTAAAATTTGCCGGAAAACGTGTCGTGCCCTGTAAAAATTAATTAAACCAGAATTATCTTGGAAATCCCTTGGCTATTCTACGAAACATCAAATATTCCCAGACGATTTATAAGAAACACTTGAATCGAAATCATGCGGCGAGTTTCTGCCGTTTTACAACAACGAATAGTCGTTTGGAATTAGTATATCAGTCTAATCAAAGCGGCAAAACCAGTAAAACGTAACTACACAATCACTTTTGGCTTGTGAATAAATGAAAATTTGACTATTAGTTATTTATTATATATTGTTCAATAGAATTAGATGGGTAAAGGTGACACACATGCAATGATGTGAAGTATATGAAAAGCAGATAAAAGTGAAGAATGATCATCGATCATCTTCACTTTCATCTACAACCGCAGTTCAAAAATGAATTATTTCATATACGTCACATCATTTCACCCCTCAGGGGAGATATGACCTCAATAAATTGACCTCGCTCCCAATGTGTGGCTTCATAGCTCAGTTGGTAGAGCAACGCACCGGCAACGCGGAGGTCACGGGTCCGAATCCCGTTGAAGCCCTGATTTTTTTCAGGCTTCTTCTTTCCAATTGCTTAAATTGGAAAATTTACTGCGATGATCATTCTTCGCTTTCACACATGCAATGTTTCTCATAAGGGCTCTTACCCGTAAAAATGGTGTCAGAATTCTCATTATTGACAATACTGGCCGCATTACAGCAAAAACCCGCGAGTATAAGAACCTGAAAATTAAGAACCTCTTGGCCTATAATTTGCCATTTAAACTCCCTATAAACAAGAACCTGTTCAGCCCAGAAAATGAAAAACAGGTTATTTTTCAAAATCATATTAGTGAAATGCAGCTGCAAAGCTCTGCAAGAATCCTGTTTGGAGAATTAGGAACTTGGCATTGCTGTGCAAATAAAACTGCTAATTTATTGACGCAATGAAAAAATAAAGTGAAAGAGGTTAATATTGTGGTATCGCATTTTGAAATTGACAAATACGTTGATTACCATCTTGTTTTGTAGCTTGTTTTCTTTTTTTTTTTTAATTTTTTTTTTACAGAAATAAGAACCTATTTAAGAACCTAAATAGCCTAAAATTGTGTTAACTACCATTTAAATAAGACCCTGCTTAGGCTAACTCCAGAAAATGTAGGTTCTTACTCGCGGGTTTTTACTGTACTCCACATAAAATAACCATTCAGTTCTCCGAAAATTTGGGATTATTTTTGTTCTTGTTTTGTCCAGTTTACTTGACTAATGTTCGACATCTTAAGAAGACTATTGTTCATCAATGACGCTTTTGTAAGCAAAGTCCATCCTCTTTAACAGAAATACCACTTTCATTTCTATTTCTGGGTAAAACCAAACAGAAAGGTTTTATTGGTAGATTGAAACTCGAATCATTCAGTTATTCTCCTTATTATTGCTATGAATCATTTCTTTGTCAATGACCAGGCCAATGTAGTCCACTGTGATTTTTGTAAGGACAATTCTAAATCCACTGTATGTAGATACTCTTATAATTGATTGTGAACTTAAGATCATTGTTTGATGAGCTAATGAAAAATTATACTCAGTCAGACTAATATTTAGTGAAGAAACTCTCTAATTGAAGGCGTCTTTTTACCAATCCTTAACTAACACACGTTTATTTGTCATATAACATCGGGTTTAACAGACTTCAGCTTCAGCTTTGTCACAAAGAAATATGGATTAATATACTTCTGTTACTACGCAAGGAGTATGAAGAGCCCATTTGAAACCTTCGAGTAACGTCCGGAGTTTATTCATTTCACGCTTTCGAAGGATCCGGCTTAAGCTTCAAAGATCCTTAATCATCAAGTTGATTTATTTCTGGTCGCGATTTGTCCTAAATAGGTATAACAATTCACTGTACTATAAAATGGGTCACGCAAAGCAGGAAGTCAAAATACACGTGTCAAGTATCCAAGCATGAAAGGTAAAGATGGGTCAGTTTTTCGGCCCGTACACATTAAGCTAAAAGACTGTTTCTTTCAGTTAATGTAGAAAACATTTTCTGGATAAATAAACCTATCACAAAGCTATAGTTTTGTCGTCAGTTGTTGCATGTGGTTCGCTCAATGTATCCCCTCGAACTTCCCTTCCACTTTGTATTATCTTGTAATGGTAGCATATGGTAAATTTGATTGATAAATTTGATAAATATACCTATAAAGCTATAGTTTTGTCGTCAGTTGTTGCATGTGGTTCGCTCAATGTATTCCCTCGAACTTCCCTTCCACTTTGTATTATCTTGTAAAGGTAGCATATGGTAAATTTGATTGTCTCGTTCTAAATGATCCGGATCATCATCAGGTACTAAGGTTTGGGGACTAGAGTGGTTTTAAGATAGTTTTATGAAAGATATTCATTGTACTATTTAGAGACACTCGAGAACTCGGTGACGATTTTCTACTCGCCCCGACATGTCCTCTAGGTGTGCCGACAGTATTCCATTTAGCTTAGTCGTAAACTACTAACCATGACCGTGTCTGGCAAACAAAAATCAGTTCAAACTTTGAGGGGACGATTGTCCACTACATAGCTAGAGTAGTTTTGCTTTGTACTGTACGTAAGTAATAATTAAGATGATTCCAAAGCATGGAATCGATCATTTAGATGAACAAATTGGGATTTGAGATTCTTTTTCGCCTGTTCATGTGACTATTCAGTGATCGTCAGGGAATTGTAGCTTCGCTGGAAAATAACCATACAATTAAACGAATTATATTCCCGGGGGGGGTACTGCCATATATGCGCTATATAGGTATATGCCGCTGTGAAGGGTATGGTTTTCAAACAGTTTACTCCAGGATAGGGTATATAAATCAGAGCGCTTGGGTCTAGAATAGGGTATCATTTTTCAGGAAACTGATCAGTTGGTTGAAGATTTTATCTAGACTAGTGAAACAGCTACTCTAGGAAAGGGGGGATTTGGGGAGTTTACTCTACTATAGGGTAGAGTTCAGCTGAACTAGCTCTGGTATAGATTAAGGGTTTCAGGGTCGCAGGGGCACATCCCCACCCAGAAATTCCTAAAGTACCCCCCCCCGGGATTATATTCTTTTCAAGATTTGTACACTGTATAGAGTACTGTTGCTACTGTTGCCATTCAAATCGCCTACAGATTGGGTTTTGGGAGATGACGTTATTCAGTTCTTATTATAAATTCTCTGGGAATTGAGCAAATTTATAGTGTGGAAGCTATAGAGCTAGTGTCCAGCTGGATTTCAGTCCTGCTCAAGGCGATGTTAATTATACATATAGGAGTAATTGGATGCCACAATAACAACAGCACTTATCAGCGGGTCGAGAAAATTGACATTATGCACATTCAAATTGAAAATTGAAATTGCGCATGTTTTGTCAATTATGAGTCTCACCAAATTTTATTTGTGTAATTATTTTATAAAGGGTACAGGAAAAAAGAAATGGTCGGAAGTAAGATTCATTTTCGATCTCATTTGAACAGCTGAAAATAATCGAAACACGGATCGGATTAACTCATACTCATGCTCAGTCCGCCCCGCTCAAAGTTTTTTTGTTTCAAGTCCATGTGGAATTTCATTTTCTAGTATGTGTAAACATGGGCAAAGATGTATAAACTAATTCATGGACGGAACGAAAATATCATTTTTCTGTAAATGTCGAGCTTTCGCCTTTTCTCCGAAAACGCTTTTTACGATAACTGAGTTAATTTCTTGGGCGCTGAATTGGTCGAGAGCTATGTTGGATGAGAGTACAGTTCATGGAAATGACGTCATGATGGCGCAATTTGCCTTCTCTTTCTCCGCGCACGATTTTCCGAGAAACTTCAACTGAAACAGACGTCAAAAAGTGTCAATATTGTTGTAAAAAACAAATCGACAACCCCCCTGAATTTTCCATGGTCTGTATTCTTATTGACCATACAAATGACCTCAAGGTTCAAAGCTTTGGTTTTATCACATTTTGACTTCATCTGTGATCTATTACTGAACAGACGCACGGCCACATGGAATCTATTTGTTAAACAGGCCATGTAAAATTGTTGTTGGTTTGTTAATTTTAAAGGCCTCTTTTCGACAATAATTGTCATGTAATTCACTTTTACTGAGATTTTTACTTTTGCGTACCTGGAAATATAAACATTAGATACGTTACTGAGTTTATCCGTAGAGATGAAAATAGATCGGCTTTTTGATGCGACTCAGAAGAAAAATGGAAGGACTAAGGTCAATATATAAAGAACACTGTTAAAAGCAATTACTTTATTATAGTTTATATTCCTGGATTTTATTATTTAAATGCACTTTGAATGGATGAAAAACCATGCTTTTTTGTTTGCTTGTTTTTACTTAATTTTTAAGATCCCGTTTCAAAAGACCAGTTGATCACATCGCAAGAGCCTACTGCTGAGCTCTTGGTACTTCTTCGATGAAGATACGGTTCACTGCATTATGCCACCCGGTGAAGGCGTCCCCGAGCTTATATCCACCGCGTTTACATTCTCCAACCCAGAATCCCACTCGAACCTTTCCTTTTTGAATGTTGTTACAATGACCTTCAATATGACGATGATTGTGGAAATTGTGGTTAACATTGCTTGGGGTTCCAATGTAGAATACGCCATCAATGGACCCAGTAGAGTTGCACTCGGCGCCATTGAAGGTGAAATACCAGCGACTACAGCAGGCGGTACAGTCATGTATCATGAGGTTGCCAGCAAAGTAGACATGGAGTGCAGAGTTTGCGTTCTTTTTCACAAAGTCACAGCTCTGTATTGAAATATGAAAAAAGGAAGAAGAAGAAAAAAGAAAAAAACAGATTTCTCATAAGAATTAAATTTATCGTAGGGAAAGCAACTGTATAATTTCAATGATGCCGATTTACACCACCCCATTTGTTGATGTCCTTTCTTTAAGTTTATTCCAATTTTTTTTTCCTCACACAGACAAAGAAAAACTAAGCGGAGTTGTTCACTTACGAATATCTGCCCTGAATCTGTGCCGTGGTAACTTGTCCACGTACACTCCTTCCAGTTCTTGTGTGAAGCAGTTCCACTGTCACCTTTGTCCCCTTGCTGTCCTTTCTGTCCGGCTGAACCCTGGATCCCAGGATCTCCCTTTTCTCCTTTCTTTCCGTCAGCACCACGTGGTCCCTGGGTCCCAGTTTTCCCTGGGCTGCCCAGGTCTCCTTTGGCTCCATCTCGACCAGGTGCCCCAGGGGCTCCTGGGATACATGTCATGTATGTCCACATCCCGGCTTGCCCTTTATCATTACAAGATGGACAAGATGAAACAGGCTGCCAAAAATAGTGAGAAACAAACTATTAGTAGCTTCTGACAATTTTATCGGTCATCTAGCGTTTCAAACTAGGTGAGGAAGTGCTTACTGAGTTTCTCCAATTTGCAAGTTTTAATTTGGGTTACTTTGATGTAATCGTAAATTGTGATTAAAGAAATTCATTTTTTCAGCTAAGAATATAACTTACTAGTATCTACCACGTTAGTAATAATGTAAGTGTAATTGTTTAAAACGTGGAAATGTTCTCTTCTCAAAATATCGATCGATTTTTGCAGAGATTGTACAAGTAATCATGATACCATAATTTTTGGTTGAATTTCGTTTCAACCCGAGACTGATTTGGTAAAATTAAGATCCCATAAGTTCTTTCCAGTTTTCCTCATAAACTAACAAAATTCAACTGTAATAAAATTTGTGTAGTGGCCATGAGTATAAATGCAGTTACCGTGGTGTCTGGTCGTTTGTTGTCCTTAGCAGAGCAGAAAGCAGTCATCAGAGATAAAATCAGTATAAACAACATAGTGGTCACTGTAACTCGTGATCGCATCATCAAGGTTTTCTAACTTGTGCACTAAAATCAAAGTTTGATCATGATATTAATATTTTGATTAGTTCAAACGAACCAAAAAAATAAAATAAAGATTAACACTGTATTTCACTTTTAAGATATGCCTTGGGAAAATGAACGACTTGAATGCTATGGAATCTCGAGACCTATTTACCGTGTCTTTTGAAGTAAACTTACCTTCGCTTCAAGATTGCCAAAGCCAAATGATAGCAATGATTATCGTGACAGATTAATTTATCTCTCTCACAATAATAACTGAACTTTTCAAGTTGTTAAAACAGGTTTCAACGAAAGAATTCCCGAATCAGTACATTTCACGCGTAAAAAACGTCGAGCATTTTGATTGGTTCTTTTGGCTTAACATGAGAAAATTCGGTTTTGTGTTTTTCAGTAACTGAGTTCCTGTGCAGATCATGCTTTGGTCCGCATGTCGAGAGTTTACCAGCCATAACATCATTTATTCTATTTATTATAATTATATTACGATATTAGAATCTATTCCTTAGTATAGCTTTGTTTTGTCCGTAAACCGCCGGGAATTTGAGTCGGTCTTGTAGCTTTACGAGGATGGCCGTTACGTCAGTTTATTACTTTTTTGTGCAGTGGGTAACAAATTAAACTGTGAACAGTTTGCAAGACTGAGTCTTAGCATAATCGAAACGCTGTTGTTGATTGAATTAGGATTTTCTAAACTATATTACTGAAAAGCCAAGCGAATTGCAATTTTCTTTCGACGTTCATTTCCTTATCCAGAATAAAGAACAGATTTTACCAACACCCAAATTCGAAACGTTCTCTTTGCGGAGGTCAGCACAAAAGTATATCCAAATAAATGTGTTTTTTTTTTTCAGTAGCCATTTCGAACTAAATTATTTTCAGAATTGTTTGATAAAGAAGCTAAACATGAATCAAGTTTAAAGTAATAATTATTGGACACTAAAAATTCTTTCTTTTTTACCGTGAATGATTGCCAGGGCTTCTTTAACATTATACCTTAAATCGTTCTGTGTATTGAAGAGTTATTCCTACCCTGAATCGTATTGGAATATGTTTTGGAGACAGTACTTATTACTCTATAATGGGCGTAAGGAGATGAGCACGTGTGGCGTATATATGACTTACCTTGTTTTCTGTTTCATTCCTGTCTTCATGAAACAAACGAGAAGAAACTGTAAAAAAATTTACTAAAACAGTAACTCAAAAAGCATAATTTCCGTAACGCGAGATCAAAAGAAAAGAGCTTCGTACATATACCAACACTCAACTGTTAGTGACTGAATCACAGAATTTCCTTGTTTGATTAAGTTTCTCGCGATCGTCGAAAAATGCTCATGAAATAGGCAAGCCAGCTACTTTTTTTATTCCTGTTAAACAATTTCATTCGCTTACGGAAATATTAGCCGGTTGCTAGGTAATCGATGCACCCAATGCAAGTTCTCTTTGATATCTAAGTTTGAAAGCGAATTTGCTGATAACTTATGATAAGAATTTTACAGACGTTTGTATGGTGGAGGCAAGTTCGTGCCCTCACCTTGGCAAACAGTCTGCAAAATTTGAGGACTTCGGGGAGTAATATTTTCACTCGCTTTGAACTTATCACCATATACTTGGTAAGTTAACTAAGTTGAATACGTTCCTCTAGGACTCAGGTCTTGATGGAAACTTGAAGAAAACCGTGGCGGGGTCTATTCACTTACTTATTATTCTAGTCAACGGAAAGCAGTAAAACGTTTTTAAGAACTTAACTCCTCCGGGAATTAGGAAAATACATCGCGGTTTTCAAAGTCTGTATGAAGAGTGTCATGTATAGGAGCTATTATCTCTTAAAAATATTGAAGTTGTACTTATTGTGTCCAGGCGACTAGATACTCTTTCTGGTTTTGCCGTAGCTCGATAAACTACATAACAATACACAACCGTACTTTCAAATCGCTGTGTTCTCTCAGTAGGCGTCACTTGTTCTTGCTTACTATTAAATCACTACTAGTGGGGCTTGTGTCGTTGTCAGTGTTGAACGCAAATTATTTTTATATTTTCAGTTCGTGTTATAAAAACAACAAGAACAAGTGTTGAAGATAGTGATTAGTTCACTATTTCGAATTCACCCTTCACAACTACCATCCAATTAACAAAACTCGGTTAGTTTTAATCCTATCAAGAAAATTATCATTTTATGACTCACGTTCGAGGATTCGCTCTGACTCTATACACGATACTACGGCGGTGGTTTCGTTCTTGCCCTGACCAGTTATTGATGTTTGAACAGTGGTCCATGTAGCACCTCGTCTTGACCACATCTAGTAACCAAAAATTATAACATATATTGTGGCAAGGATTATTCACTAGCTAGCTAGAGTAGTTTGCATGCTACTAATACATTTATGATGAGATAATTCCTAAAGAATGGAATCTTTAGATCAGATTAGAATTTGGGATTCTTTTCCCCTATACTCTCCTGTTCTTTTGTCAAAAACTTGAAAAATCTCAATTTCATGTAACTGTTCTGTGATTCAAATTCGAGCTTCGCTTAAAATAACCACACTGTCGTTGTAGGGATTATTCTTTGGAAGGTTTCTACACTGTATCGGGATTCGGTTGCATCCCTTACGTTAATGGTCCACAGCAAGAGTATAAAAAGCTTGTAGGCTGGGATTTGGGACATGTTTTCGTTCAGTGCGCTCTGTCACTAAATACTAAGCTTCATAAAAGTATCTCACCTAATTTGTTTAAAAAGGCGATCTCGGTTTTTATTTATTATTATTTTCTTTATATAGCTGGTGAATTTTTAGAGCTCCAGCACAGCAACCTATCTCTTTACTTTCTTCGAAAAATTATGGTTTGACTTGAGGACCGATAAGGAGCTGTTCACTCAAGGCTTACGCTTTACAGTTCGAAATTTTGAAAAAAATTTCTGCGAAATTGCTTTCGCGTGCAAAGCCGCCAATAGGCTAGCTGCTGTGTATTTTGAAATTTGCCATGAAGACGCGAGTAATTTTATATTCTCGCATGGTAAGAACGCAAACCAGAATAATTCTGGAAATTGCTTCGGAATTCCAAGAAACATCAAATACTCACAGAAGATTTACAGAAAACAATTAGATGGAGGTATTATAGGAACTCCTTGCTTTTATAATAACGATAGTATAATATTAAAAAGCGATATTTATAAGCGACAAAACCAGAACGTTCACTTTTGGAAAGTAAATAAAATGAAAATTTAGCCCTGAATCTTGTTGAATAAAATTAGTGCAGCAAAGGACAGTGTTTGCCCAAAAAAGGCTCTTACCCGTAAAATTGATGTCAGAATTCTCATCACTGACAATATTGGTCGCATTACTCCATAGAAAATAACTAGTATTCATTTCGGTTCTCCGAAAATTTTGAGTTTCCTTGTTCCTGTTTTATCGAGTTTACATGATTTATGATCGATATCTTAAAATGGCCATTGTTCATCATTGACCCTTTTTTGTAAACAAAGTTTATCTTCTTGACAAATGGAAATGTCACTTTCCTTTCTGTCTTTCTTGGGTTAAACCAAACTTAATCAAAGACGAAAGTTTTTATTCGTAAATTGAAAATTGTAACATAAATCCTATATCCTTAGTATTGCTATGAATCATGTTTTTGTCAATGACCAGGCCAATGCAGTAACCAGTGCAGGAGCTTTTATGAAGGATAACTCTAAAACTAGCTTCAGCTTTAAAAATCCCTGTTGATCAAATTGATATATTGAGGTCTAATTCTCATGAATAATTAGTCATGATCAATAGCTAGACATTAAATCTTCTTTGCTCTTTGAGGTTTAAAATGGGTCACGCAAAGGAGAAACTAAATCCGAAAACTTATACACGTGTTAAAACGTGGTTCAATACTTTGCTTTTTTCTTAAATGTAAACCTTACAGCAACATCAGCAAAAAATGTAGTCTGCGCCTGAATGAAAAGTTCATAATCATCTGTAAAAAAGAACTGTGTAGCCTCAACAGAAGAAACGAATTGGCAAGTTCATGCTCCCACAGAAACCGATATGTACTTGGAAACTTTAGAGTAACGTAGCTTAAAACCCGCTTATATCATATTTAACGACAGATAATCCCTCTTATAAGTTTTTGTTACCTAGCGACCCTTTCAACAGTTTCATATAACCTCAATGTAACCCATCTACCATAGCAACCATTTAAATTTTCGCATTTAGCTGCCAGCCTTCCAATTCCAACAGTTCAGTCGTCAAAATTGCCTGATGAGTGTGGTCCTTGCACCATAGGAAACAGTTCTGTTATTGTTCTGCTATAGCAATAAAACGATGATTACTCGTGAAACCTGAACTTCTGTGAAGTTATAGCTGATGCTCCTCTATCAATTGAGTCGAGCGCTCTACGAAATACGTTCTACTCAAATAACGAATTTATATATATATACTAGTTTGTATCAGTCAAAACTTGTAATAATAGCATCATGGTAAATATTTAAATTGTCTTGTGGTAAAGCCTGAAGCGGAACACAGTATAACCCCGCAACTAAGAACCTGGATTTTGTTAGGCTAAAATTTGTCAGTTAAGCCCTGTTCGATATAAAAACCTGTTTAACCTTAAGTTTGAAACAGGTTCTTCTTTGCCAAAATCTATGAAAAAATTCTGTACACTTGGGCAAATAAGAGGAGTCAACATGCAGAACCCCTCTTTGTCTTAATTGTCACTCCAACTGCAATGTGACGGTATGCAAATTTTATATGAGGAATAAGCTGAACGACTAGATACTCTTGGCTATATTGTATTTTTTCTTCAGAAAATGAAGAGCCTTGAGTTAAATTGTACCATTTATATAAGAACCTGTTTAGCCCAACTTGGAAAAATCTAGGTTCTTAGTCGCGGCGTTTTACTGTGCTATACATCATCCTACAAATTTCAGTATACCTTTTATTAACCCCACTGGAAACCAACACATACACATACGTATATTACAGAATTGTAATCTGCGTTCCCGCTGTGGAACGTTTTACTCGTGGAT